GGGTCGGTAACGAGGGAGACTCGAGGAACAAGAGGTCTGGCGGCAAAAGGAAGTCAGACAGAGGAGGTGGAGCGACAAAAAGCAAGGACAGAGGAGGCGACGGGAGGAGGGGAGGACGAGATGCATGGAAACGAAGCAACATAGGGTGAGAACGTGGAGCAGGAGAGACAGGACGAGCAGGAGAGGCACGGCGAGACCACCAGTGGGAGGGTGGGGTCGGGTCAGGAGACAAGGGTGGACAAATAGGAGGAGAACGAGGGGGAAAGCGAGCTAGAGACGAGTCCGACGGAGGAAACACAGGGCCATAGACAAGCGGGGGAGGTGGCGGCGGGGGAGGCGGAGGCGGGTGGTCAGGGGAGGGAAGACCGAGGAGGCGAGGACGGTCACCAGCGGTGATTGCTGCGGCTGCTGCTGCTCTGCACCGACACCAGAACCTCCAGCAGCACCACGGCTACCTATTGGACACTCCACGCCAGCACCCCCAGAACGAGAACCGTCGACAACACCAGTGCCACCCTCAAGACCACCAAGATGAGCCAAGACACTAACCCCATGACTAGCACCCCCAAAACGAGAACCCTCTCCAGCACCGGTGCCATCCCCAGGACCGCCGGGACAAGCCACGACAGTACCCCCATGACTAGCACCCTCCTCAATGCCCGCACCCCGAGAGCTCGCGGACCCCCGCTGCGGCTGCGGCAGCGGCGATTGCGGCTGCATCGACAGCGGAGGAGGAGACACCGGGGCGGAGACAGGCAGCGAGAACGGAGCCGCAAGGCCTTCAGAGTCAGCCGACTCCTCTACCAGGGCAAGCAAGGGGAGGGGAGTGACATGAGACACACCAGACGGGGTAGGACGGGGAGGGAGAGGAGCATGGGCTACCGGGGGAGTGGGAACCAGGAACAGGGGCGGGGTAACCGCGAGACTTCGGTGGGGAAAGCTGGTGTAGAAGAAGACAGACTCGTCAAAAGTGACGTCACGAGAGTGAAAGAAACGGTGAAATGGCGGATGGTAAAAGTTCAAGTCAGACGCATCTAAGGGGAAGCCAAGGAAGACACAAGGGACTGTGCGGGCAATGAGCTTGTCCGAGCCAGAGGCACGAACGTGAGTGGGGCAGCCCCAAACGTGGAACGCAGACACGTCACCAAGGGACCCGGTCCAGAGGAGGGTCAGCGAAACATGCGACCGTTGGGAGTATGGACACAGGTTAAGCTGGTAAGCGGTGTAGCAAACAGCGAACGACCACAGAAAATGGAGTGCATTGGCATGGGTCATGGAGGTACGAGCCACCTCCATGACCAAGCCGATGAGTCAGTCAGTGACCCCATTCTATTTGAGGGAGTCCAGTAGGGTGTACTATTGGGTGATGCCCTCCGTACGACAGATCTGGCCAAGTCGACCGGAGGCGAACTCCCCACCACGGTCGGAGTGGAGACGCAACATGCAGAGACCGCGGTGGACTCGTGCAGCTACAACCCACGGGATAAAAACACCAGGCACGTCGGCCTTACGCTCCAAGGGAAACACCGTGGTGTAGCACGTGTAGTCATCGATAAGCACTAGAAAGTAGCGCTCTCGTCGCGGCCCAGGGACGGGGGCTAGGCCCAGACGTCCAGGTCTGGAGTAGTGCAGTGGTAGGGGGAAGCGTGGAGGACTGAGGAGCATGGCGCAGCTGGCCCTCTACGCAGGGTGTGCACGACGGCGCAAGCGAGGGAGGGAGGGCAAGGAGCAACGCGAGAGACCTAGGACAAGACTGTGCTGGGACATGTGACGCAGATGGGGGATGGTGGGTTGGCCTAAGCGGTGGTGCCACAACAGCAATGTGTGGGTGAGCGACTGACAGGAGCAGACCGCATCGACCTGGGTAGACGCACGCACGTGGGGGGACGCCTTCAGTGGGGGGGACGCGGTGTCAAGTGTAAACAGGCCAGACACCGGGTCCCGGGGGAACGTGGTGAGTGGGGCACCTGTGGCGGCCTTGGTACAGACCGCCTTGCTCGTATTCGGGGAACGTAGTGGTGACGCCGAGGTCCTTAAGACAACCGACACCAACTAGGTTATTGGAGAACGAGCGGATGTGCAAGCTTGTAAGAGTGCTCGAGGGAACCGCCGGATAGGGAAGGGTAGTGGAGCTCCGTGCAACTACCGGACCTGAGGAGGGGTCAACAAGTGCTACAGCGGCAGGGGCGGCAAGTGGCGTGAGCGCAGTGTGGTCGCGAAAGAAGCAGGCGGGCGCACTAGATTCTAGCGTGAAAGAGAGCGCGGCGGTAGCATCCACAGTCGAAGGAGCTAAAGTGGAGCCGAGGCTGAACAAGGCAGGTGGTCCTACGCTTGACGCAGCAGGGGAACCTAGGCTACACACAGTGGACACACCAAAATTAGGCAAAACTAGGTAATATGGTACAAGCACACTAGAGTCATCAGCATACATGACATACATAGCAGTCCTATTTTCATCCATGTCCAGCTCAAAGATAGGCACACGGCGACGCACCAGGTTATACCAGTCGGGGGGGTCCAACGCGGGGTCGAAACGTAGATGGAAGAGGTTATCGAGGCGGCAGTAGCAGCGAGTGGCGGTGTGACTGGGACGGTCGCAAACGGTGCCGAGGCGGGGTTCGGACTAGAGCTGGTATTGGCAAGTGACCGCACTGGAGCCGCCACCCGACACCGAGCTACGCGGCCCACCACCTCGACCACCACCACCAATGCCACCAGGCCACCACTGCAGCGGGGGTCCCCACGGTTGCTGCTACTGCTGTTGCTGCGACTATGGTTGCTACTGTCGCTTTTGCTGCTGCTCCTGCTGCTGCCGAGGCTGCTGCTGCTGCTGCTTCGGGGCATCAGCCCCAATCCCCTCATCTGCACCACCATCCCCGCCACCACCTCCGCCACCTCCGCCACCCCCACCACCCCCGACACCCTTCCCTCCGCCACGCCCCCCCTTGGTGCGGCGGCCCTTACCCTGACGCGGGTGCGCTGAGGCCGCGGCGGCGGTCTCAGCAGCAGGGGCTGTCTCAGCGACAGCGGCAGAAACGTCAGAGTAAGTGCACTGGGAGGGAGCACAACCCTGGAAGATAGGGACCACCACAATACCGCTAGACTGAGCGATAGTGCGCTGACGGGTCTCTATCGCGGACAAGGCGGTGACAAAGGCGGTAAGGGTGAGGTCACTTGGGTGATGACTAAGAAAGTGGTCGCGAGCAGTGGCAAGGCAGTCAGGGAGGCGTGTGGCAATGAGGTAAAGGGTAGCGCAAAGCGGCGGCGGGAATGCAGTGAGCTGTGCCTCAGTGCTAGCAGCACGGTAGCAAGTCTCAATTGCGCGGAGATGGGTGGCAAGGTCAAGGACAGTGGGGAAGGACACAAGATCAGGGAATAGCATGGGGAGGATCAGACGGCCGGCAGAGGCAGGGGAGGGAGTGGAATAGCGCGCAATGACCGCATCTATGTATTCCTTTGCATTTGCTACAGCAGTAAAGCGGGGACGCTCAGACAAGGGGAGGGCGTAACTAATGGCAAGCTGTGCGACTACGTCGCGCGACTCCCAGACAGCGCGTGCAAGCTGAGTAGCGGCAAAGGCCTCATACTCAGCAGACATGGGGGCATCAGGGAGGACAGCAGGCGCGGTGGGTCAGGGAAGCTTATCGTCGACATGGACGGCCAGGGAGTAGCTGTCCTGGCGCTGACCGGTCAGCTGACATCGGAGGTCGACGAGCCATGCCTCGAAATCAACTGCCCGACCCTCCGTGTCCAGGCGGAGCACAGAGTCCGCCATCACCACGGCTGCAGCAGCTGACTGCCGCTGGAGGGGGAGGAATGCGGCGGAGGGCGGTGGAGAGCAGTGGAGAGCGGTGGAGAGGGGTGGAGAGCGGTGGAGAGCGATGGAGTGCGGTGGAGAAGAGTGGAGTATGGCGGAGAGCAGTGGAGAGCGGTGGAGAGCGGTGGAGTTCGGTGGAGTGCGGTGGAGTGCGGTGGAGTCGGCGGGAGCGCCGTCTCAGAGGGGAGCCAAGGCCGGCAGGTCGGGGCGGCAGAGCGGCTCGGCGGCTCTGCGACACGACGTCACGGCAGCACTGCGACCCGGCGGCGCGGCGGCTCAACGACACGACGGCTCGGCTGCTCGACGGTGCGGGGACGGCGCGGGTGGGGGCCGACGAAGTTGGGGCTGGCGGAGCTGGGGCTGGCGGAGCTGGGGGCTGGCGAGCAAGGGGCCGGCAAGCTAGGGGTCGGCGAGCCAGGGGCTGGCGAGCATGGGGCCGGCGAGCGCGGGGCCAGCGAGTACGGGGCCGTCAAGCGTGGGGCCAGTGAGCGCGGGGCCAGCAAGCACGGGGCTGGTGGGCGCAGGGCCGTCGAGCGCGGGGCTGGCGAGCGAAGGGCCAGTGAGCGCGGGGGCGCTAGCGAGGGGCCGGTGAACTCGGGGCCAGTAGGCGCGGGGCTGGCTAGCGCGGGGCCAGTGGGTAGGGGCCGGCGAGCACGGCTAGCGAGCTAGTAGGGGGGGCCGGCGAGCTAGGGCCGACGGGCACAGGGCTACGGGCGGCCGGCGGCAGCGGGCGGCTGGCGGATGCGGGCGGCCAGCGGCTACAGGCGGCTGGCGGTTATGGGTGGCCAGCAGCTACAGGCGGCTGGCGGCTACAGGCGACTGGCGGCTACGGACGGCACGAGGCGAAGGGCGGCCAGCGGCGGTGAACGGCGAGCGGCTAGCAGAGGCGGCTAGCAGAGGCGGCTAGCAACGGGCGGCTAGCGACGGGCGGCTAGCAACGGGCGGCTAGCCACGGGCGGCTAGCACCGGGCGACTAGGTCTAGGACTAGAGCGGAAGTGCGGGTGGGCGGGGAGGACCTAACCTAGCGCAGGATACCATCTTAGAGGAACGAATTGAATAGAAAACAAGGTATAGGGTGAGTTTGTACTAGTGTGTTGTACCCTCTAAGAGCATGGACCTATCCAGCCTATAACAACATATGCATATATGTTTGGCATCAACTTGAAAGTGGGTTTGTTTTTTTAGCTTGGGGCTTTAAGCCACAAATTGGCATGAGAGGAGTCCTACAAGAAAAACATTACTCCCACCTTGTGCTTATTGGAAAGGTGACAACACGTACTTGACCATTTGATTGATTCCGTCAAGTCTTCTCATCTGTCTCATTCTCATCCATACCCCACAACGTCTCATCCTCATCTTGCTGGACACCCACATGCCCTAACTCTCTATTCACACACGAATACTCAATAACCTCCTCCCTATCTCCTCTTCTCTCACTCCTCCCCTCATCCCCTTCACCCTCTCTCCTCTTCCATTCTACTAGCCTCTCTCTTGTCCATTTCAAGATCCCTTGAAACCCGGCACTGGAACCCACGCCTACGGGCAGCTGTGAGTACGAAACCCCAAAACACCCTAGCCTTTTCTGGGCGAACTGCAGTGGTAGTTTCGGGGTCCGAGGGGGGTAAAGATGTGCCAAAGCGGATCCCCGTCTTAGAAGCACAAAATACTGGAACAATTCTGGCCTGTAGTGTAGCTCCAACTCCTCCTTTTCCTGTAGCTTTTTGTCCTTTTTAGTTATACTCGCTGTAGAGTTGTTGGATGGTGCGGCAACCCATGGTAGCAGGACCAAATCAGCCTGAATCCATGCAGGAACCTGGGGAGATGAGGGAAACAAGAAAGACCAAAAATAAAAACCAGGCTAACACGTAGAGCCATCTGAGATGCTTCAGGCTCATGCCTCCACAAGTGCGGATCTAATTCTCTTCTCCCACTGTAAGCATCATGTGGTCATTTTCCTTACAGCAGTCGACACACCAGGAGTGGTGGCACACTGGTAGTGCCTTGAAGCTCCCCAAACTCACCAGATCAGGTGAGTTCCTTTGAGCCGACTCAAAAGTCCTTACAGCAGTCAACACACCAGGAGCGGTGGCAGTGCCTTGAAATCTCCCAAAACTCACCTGATCAGGTGAGCGCTCCCGCATCGCAACTCACCGTGTGCGCGCAACACTTCCCACGGGAGCACTCTTTCTGCAGAGCTGCAGTCAGTTGACCAGGTGGCCTGTGAGTCGAGTCAATAGTCTACCCGCTTTTGAGTCAAATCGCAAGAGCTCACCTGATCAGCGCATGCATCGTCACCCTGTGCACGCAACACTTCACACGGAAGACGTGCCCGGGAGCACTCTTTCTGCAGAGCTGCAGTCAGGTTGGCGGGATGCAGGGCGGGCGGCATGTGTTGTCTCCATATGGCGTCTGAACCAGCAATGAAGATCGTCAGAGAGGAACTGACAGGTGCCTGAAGACTGGTAAAGGGGAGGGGAAGGAGGAAGGGGCGGGGAGGGAGAGAAGGGAGAGTGGGAGGGGAGAGGGGGGAGAAGGGTAGTTGGTACATGGTTTTCACCAGCTGCTGCATGTGCCGTCGTCACGTAGCGTCTGAACCGGCAGTGAAGATGGCCCAGGTAGAACTGACGGACAGAAGCCTGTAGACTGGCACAGGGGAGGGGTGCAGAAGGGGGCAAGGAGGAAGAGAAGGGAAAGAGGTAGGGGGGTCGCCGAGAGGGAAAGGGTAGTTGGGTTGGGTACATAGTTTTCAGCAGCTGCATGTGTTGTCTCCCTGGGCGAGGCAAAGCTCTAAACTGTTTGCATGCAGGAGAGTGGATGGGATTGGGACTGATGCATGCACACTGGAACATGGCAGGATTGGGAGTGTAATCAGCTGTCGCTGCCACTGTAAACGATTGGGACTGCGGCGCCCGGAAGCGTTTGCGAAGAAATAAGAGGCACAGAGGTGAAACAGAACATACAGCGTAAACGGTTATAGCAGTGTAGCAGAGGGAGGGAGCAGTGAAGCGATGAAAGATGGAAATGGATAGCAATGCGTTAAAGGAAACAAACTCGTACCAGCATGCATGCATGCTTCCGAGACACCTCACAATGGTACCAGCATGCATGCTACAGTGGAGTCATTTTTGAGAATTCTCAAAAGTCACGGTACAGCAGAGGGAGGGAGCAGTGAAGCGATGAAAGATGGAAATGGATAGCGATGCGTTAAAGGACACAAACTCGTACCAGCATGCATGCATGCTTCTGAGACACCTCACAATGGTACCAGCATGCATGCTACAGTGGAGTCATTTTTGAGAATTCTCAGAAGTCACGGTACAGCAGAGGGAGGGAGCAGTGAAGCGATGAAAGATGGAAATGGATAGCGATGCGTTAAAGGAAACAAACTCGTACCAGCATGCATGCATGCCTGCTTCTGAGACACCTCAAACTGGTACCTGCATGTATGGTGAAGGGCAGATCGAATGACAGCAACCCTTCTCTCACAGTTGAGCACCCTCCCTTGCCCCCTCCCCTGCCCCTCCTCCATACTGCCACCGCTAGCACCATCTACCCCGCCACCCATGCTGCTGCGGTCACTACCGGTGCCATAACCATCCTCACCACCGTGAGAGTGAACCACAGGAGACACGGGATCACGCAGCAGCACCACCCGGTCAAAGCACACCACCGGAGGAGCACCACCGTCTGTAACCGTGCTGCTGATAACCATACTCTCTGCACTGTTGCTGCTGGTGGTGGTGCTGGTTATGGGTGGCAGTTTGAAGGGCGGGAAGGCAGCATCGCCCAGGGTTGACGTGAGCAGGAGGGATGCCCATGGGGAAGAATGGCGCAGCTGGGAGGGGGTTGGTTGGAAGGGAGAAGGGGAGAGGAGGGGAGAGGAGGGGAGAGGAGGGGAGAGGAGGAGAGAGGAGGGGAGAGGAGGGGAGAGGAGGGGAGAGGAGGGGAGAGGAGGGGAGAGGAGGGGAGAGGAGGGGAGAGGAGGGGAGAGGAGGGGAGAGGAGGGGAGAGGAGGGGAAAGGAGGAGAGAGAAAGGAGCAGGGAAGGGGGGCGGATCAAAGAAAAGAAGGCTGCATGAGGGGACTTGAGCCAAAGTTGACTTGGGATGCCCATGGGGAGGAATGGCGCAGCTGGGAGGGGGTTGGTTGGAAGGGAGAAGACGGTAGGCTGGAACTAGTGACGAAACATACCTTTTCTAGGTCGGGGAACATTCACGCCCCACTACGAGAGAGACGGGGCGAAGGAACCCTCAGACCTCTGTTAAACAGCCAGCCTCAATCGCAAACAGAGGGCGGCAAATGACTCATCAAACCCTGTCATCATCAACCCTCACACCCCCCACTCACAGTTGATTGCAGACCATCACCGCGGAAGAGCACCAGACCGGACGCCAGACAGATGGGAGCAAAGCAGCCTTTGGACCTCCTCCAAGCAGCCAGCCTCGATGCCATATGGAGCACAACAACCAGAATCCGGATCATAACACCTGGCAGGCATCACCTCTCCACCCCTACTCACTGTTGATTGAAGCCTATCCCCACGGAAGAGCACGAGTCGGGAGGGCGCGAAGCACCCTTCAGACCGCCTCCAATCAGCCAGCCTCGACGCCAGATGGAGCACAGCCAACGGATCATCAAACCCTGGCACCTCCTCCGATCCACCCCAGTTAGTCCTTGCATGAAGATCCTGCTGTGAATATCTTCTATCTGTGCTTGTTCGGGTGTCAGCGGGCTGGGTGAAAGCGAGGACAGTGGTGCCCGAGAGGTGGAGTGCGTGGAGTGGGGAGGAGATGGCTTCGGAAAGAGAGAGCTGCACTGCTGGTTCGTGGTCTTGTGCTGATGCTGGCGCTAGCTGTAGAGAACAGGGGGGGGGGAGGGGGGGGAAGAGGGAGAAGGGGAGAGGGAGCGGGGTTGTTCATTAGCCGCTGTGTGAACATCAAGCGGTGAATCGCTGCTATCTGTGCTTGTTGTTTGTAAAGTGTGAGTGGGTTGTGTGAAAGCGAGGACAGTGGTGCCCGAGAGATGGAGTGCGTTCAGTGGGGAGGAGATGGCTTCGGCAAGAGAGAGCTACACTGCTGGTTCACGGACTTGTGCTGATGCTGGCGCTAGCTGTAGAGAACAGGGGGGGGAGGGGGGGGGAGGGGAGGGGAAGGGGGGAGGGGAAGGTGGAGAAAAAGGGGGAGGGAAAGGAGGAAGCGGGAAGAAGGGAATGTGTCGATGAGTTGTGCGAGGGCAAGAGCAGTGGTGCCCGAGAGATGGAGTGCGTTCAGTGGGGAGGAGATGGCTTCGGCAAGAGAGAGCTACACTGCTGGTTCACGGACTTGTGCTGATGCTGGCGCTAGCTGTAGAGAACAGGGGGGGGAGGGGGGGGGAGGGGAGGGGAAGGGGGGAGGGGAAGGTGGAGAAAAAGGGGGAGGGAAAGGAGGAAGCGGGAAGAAGGGAATGTGTCGATGAGTTGTGCGAGGGCAAGAGCAGTGGTGCCCGAGAGATGGAGTGCGTTCAGTGAGGAGGAGATGGCTTCGGCAAGAGAGAGCTGCACTGCTGGTTCACGGTCTTGTGCTGATGCTGGCGCTAGCTGTAGAGAACAGGGGAGAGGGAAAGGGGTGGAGGGGTGGGAGGAGGAAGGGGAGGCGGGGGAAGGGGGTTGCTGTGAAGATAGAAAGCTCCAGTGCATGTTCATATTCCTTTCCAGCTACTACGGAAAAAAAGAAGTCATATTCGAGAAACATTCTCTTGTTTCAACACAGCATTTGCGGCACAGCCAAGGAAGAAGCAGAATCCCTGTCCTGGTTGAGGCAACGAGGGCAGCGGCTTGCAGCGCTGAGAGAAGAATCCCTTCCTTCACTAGAGAGCGATCCTGTCTTTGCAAAACCCTGTCTATACTAGAGAGGGTATGTTGCAGGCTGGGCGTAAATATACTGGAAATGGGCAGCATCAGCTTTCGGAACACCGCGGCGGATTTGTTGCAAGCTGCACGAACTTAATCTGCACTAGAACTCACCCGGAGGCGCACGGCGTGCTTGGGAGCAGCAGCACCGGGAATGTTTAGCACCAGCGGGCCCTTCCTCTGTAAGCCACATGGCGTGCTCTAGGGGGGGAAGCATTGGGGAGCACCAAGACTCACCCGGAGGCACACGGCATGCTGGGGAGAAGCAGCACCCGGAATGGCCAGCACCAGCGGGTCGTTGGCTTCCACGCCGCGCATGTTATGCTCTAGGCTGGGCGGCCTTGACAGCTCACCCGGAGGCACACAGCGTGCTTGGGAGAAGCAGTACCCAGGATGGCTAGCACCAGCGGGTTGTTGGCTTCCAGGGTGGGCAGGAAGCAAGCAGTGTAAGGTTGAACGTACTGGGGAGCAGTACGACTCACCCGGAGGCACACGGCGTGCTTGGGAGCAGCCGCACTGGGAATGGCCAGCACCAGCGGGTTGCTGGCTTCCAGAGCAGGCAGGAAGCGGCGGTAGCGGCGGGGGATGAGGTGGAGGAGGGTGGAGAGGAGAGAGCCGTTGAGGATAGGGGAGAAGACAGGGGGGATGGGGGCCACACGGAGCTTGGGCTCCTGCTTGGAACAGAAGGTGGAAAGGGGGGAGGAGGGGGAAGGTGGAAAGGGGGGAGGAGGGGGAAGGTGGGGGAGAGGAAGAGGGCGGGAGAGTGGGACAGGGGGGGGGAGAGTAGGGAAACAGTTAAGAATCGTGTTCCAAGGCGGGCAGGAAGCGACGGTAGCGGCGGGGGATGCGGTGGAGGAGAGTGGAGAGGAGAGAGCCATTCAGGATAGGGAATAAGACAGGAGGTTTGGGAGGCACACGAAGTTCGGGCTCCTGCTTGTTATGGAAGCAAGGGACAGCCGGGGGGAACGGCGGGAGGAGGTTGTGGTCGGTATGTTATAGCCAACCTAAAGGTTGTGGTCGGTATGTTATAGCCAGCCTAAAGGTTGTGGTCGGTATGTTATAGCCAGCCTAAAGGTTGTGGTCGGTATGTTATAGCCAACCTAAAGGTTGTGGTCGGTATGTTATTGCCAACCTTAAGGTAGACATGGGCACAAGCCGAGCCACCTGGCTCGGCTCGGCTCGGCTCGACTCGAGCCGGCGGCTCGGCTCGGCTCGCGAACGTGAAATCAGGCGAGCCGGAGTCGAGCCGGCTCGAGCTGGCTCGATTTCGAGCCAGCCGGCTCGCGGCTAGGGAAAGGGGGGTTTCGCGACTGTCAAATTTCAGATCGACAACCCCCCCCCCTGCCAATATTGTCTGCCAACCCTAACCTCACCCTGTCGCGCTAGTCTATCGACCTCAGCCAGCCATATTTAAACCGGCAGCTCCTCCTGATAGTTTTGTAAGATGTAGGAGCAGACGATCAGCTAAATAATATGGATTATCCCCTATACTAGAGACCCCAAACCCCGTGGCCCCAATTGAGAGCCCGCACAAGCCCCTCTGACGAGCCGAGCCGAGCCGGCTCGCCGGCGAGCCGGCCCCGGCTCGACCCCATTTTCACGAGCCGAGCCAGGGATCCTGAGGACCCGGCTCGAGGCGAGCCGAGCCGGCTCGGCTCGACCCCAAACGAGCCGAGCCGAGCCAGGCTCGGCTCATGCCCATGTCTACCTTAAGGTTGTGGTCGGTATGTTATAGCCAACCTAAAGGTTTCGGTATCTGTCGCAGCTCGCGACTTGGCGAATCAAACCAGAAATTTCACCGAGTCGCAAACTTGACTATGGTCTTTCAGCTCGACATTCCAACCCCTCCCCCCCTCCCAACCGCACAGTATCCCACCCAAACTACAACTCCCAACCAACCAACACTCACCCAATCCCCCCCCTCTCCCCCTCTCAATCGCACAGCATCCCACCCAAGCTTCAACTTCCACCCAACACCCACCCAAACCCCCTCCTCGTCCCCTCCCAACCGCACAGCATCCCACCCAATCTACAATTTCCAACCTACACCCACCCAACTCCCCTTGTCCCTCTCTCTGCTCTAAGAATCTCGCCATCGCGTTTCACTCCCTTGCTCACGACGAATCCAGCCAGCGCATTTCTGCTCCTAGTCTAACCCCCCCCTTCCCCCCCCCAAACAGAGTTATTTTCAGCCCTTCCCGAACTTTTTTTTGCCTGCCCGCCCAAGCGTATTTCCTGCCGTTTCTAAAATCAGAATCAAGCGTACAGCGTATGTACTCTAGAGTATATACAGAAACGTGTAATACGCCGTGCACGTATTTCTCCACTTAGTGTACTACACACACACATCTATGCAAAGGCTTAGAAAAAAAATTGTGAGCACTCACATGTAAGAGTCCTTTTGCATGACTGTGACTGCATCGATTGTGTTCTTGTGCTCTTATAAAGACATGAAGCCTGTGTGATAGGTATATTTAACCTCATATTGCTGCGGACACTCACATAGATGTATGAGTCCTTGTGCATAACTGTGACTGCGTCGATTGTGTTCTTGAGAGGCATGAAGCCCATGTGGATTGAGAGGTCGTTGAGGCACTTCCCCCTGTGACGGTTGGAACATGGGGGAGTAGTGATGAGTCCAACCAAGGAGTCGATGTATGGAGAGGATGAGAGGCATGAAGCCCGTGTGGATTGGGAGGTCGTTGAGGGACCTGCCCCTGTGGCGGGTGGAACGTGGGGGAGCAATGATGAGTCCAAGAAGTCGATTAGATGTGTGGAGTGGATGAGAGGCATGACGCCCGTGTGGATTGGGAGGTCGTTGAGGGACCTGCCCCTACGGTGGGTGGAAGGCGGACGAGGTGTTGGGCAAAAGGACAACAACAACCCAAGTAACCTTGTTGAGATACTGACGAAAGAGGCGACTAAAAAAACCACACTGCATGCCACACTCGTATCACAGGCAGCACTCACATCACAGGCAGCACTCACATCACAGGCAGCACTCACATCACAGGCAGCACTCACATCACAGGCAGCACTCACATCACAGGCAGCACTCACATCACAGGCAGCACTCACATCACAGGCAGCACTCACATCACAGGCAGCACTCACATCACATGCCGCACTCACATCACATGCCGCACTCACATCACATGCCGCACTCACATCACATGCCGCACTCACATCACATGCCACACTCACATCACACGCTGCAGTCACATCACATGCTGCACTCACATCAAATGCCGCACTTACATGGCAGGAGCAGGCGGCATGGGGAAGGGGCCTTGCACCTCCTGTGTCTAGTCGTACACCGTCAGCGGCGGCAGGCCCGACAGATGAGTTTCCAGCACGCTCACTCCTATTGGTTTCAGAAACGCCCCAAAACCACACTGCACGCACCACCCCACTCACATGGCAGGAGCAGGCGGCATGGGGAACGGGCCTTGGACCTCCTGTGTCGAGTCGTACACCGTCAACGGTGACAGATCAGAAAGATGAGTCACCAGCATGTTCATCGCCACGTCAGCACACGCCCTCGCCGCAGGATTAGCCAGCGCACCGCCGCCGCTTGTTCCCCCACCCTCACCCTCACTTCCCTCCTCTCCCTCCAGATATCGCCTAGCCTCTTCCTTCATAGTGCAGCTGAAGTAGTGGAGGTAGTTACTATGCAGCAGCATTCCGCCGGTCACTATGGAATAGTCCCCTCCCGGGCCTAGGGACGCGTGCACGGCCAGCCGGCCTTTTAAGATGCCCTTGGTCAGGCGGAAGTGGGCAGAGGGGAGGAAGCCGAGGAGGCGGTTGGGGGCCTCTTGCCAGCGGTGGAATGCGGTGGAGAGGAGAGCAGGGGGCACCAGCATGGTATCGTCTATCACTAAGACTGGAGCAGTGGCGAGGGATCTGATGGGTGAAGGGGCGGGGGCAAGAAGAAAAACAAGAAGATGCCCTTTCAAGTTGCCCTTGGTCAGGCGGAATTGAACAAGAAGAGAACAAGTGTATCAATCAATAGGTGAACTAGCGATCGGCGGAAATAAGACGGCGGAAAGAAGTCGGTGGGGGGAAGTTCCATTTTGTCGGTGAGTCACAGTTGCAGTAACGGGTCATAAATAGCAAGCTCACCGAATCGGGTGGAAGCGAGCAGTTGCAGACGGGTTGTGGAGAGGGAGCATGACAACTGGCCTCTGTCCCCCCACAAGAGGCAATGGGCTACTGCTACCACCGCCACTGCCACTGCTGCCACCACCGTCGCTGCCCGCGCTGCTGTATCCGCCGGTGCTGTCACTGCTGCTTGTACTATAAACCAGTGGATCGTCATCCGACAGAAGGACAAACACGTCTTGCACGACCGGCGCTGAGGCGTAGTGGCGGATGGCTTGTAGGGTTTGCTGTGGGTTGCCGGTTGCTGTGAGCACCACGGTGAGCCTGTCATAAAGAACACTGTTATTCCCCGTGCTCTCCTCTTGACAAATGGAGGAAAGAGGCGCGAATTCATAGCTCATAGCACTCCTGTCAACTCCATCACCTCCCGTGACAGCATCACTTGCAGTAGTACTGCCACCCTCATTAGCCTTAGCAGCAGAACCGCCAGCATTGGCACTCCCAGCCGCCTTAGCAGCAGCCGTGGCCCGCGCAAGCGCCTGCAGCATATCGCTGTATGTTGCGAGCCAGGTATGGTCCAAACTGCGAGTGGTGGGGAACTGGGGCGAGGGAGAGGGTTGGTAAGGGGGTGGATAGGGGATGTTAAGAAGGGTGGAAAGCGGTCGAATGCAGTGACGGGGTGGAATGGCCCGTGCAAGTGCATGCAGCATATCATTGTATGCAGCGAGCCAAGTGTGGTCCAAACTGCGGGTGGTGGGAAACTGGGGTGAGGAAGGGGGAAAGAGAGGGATTGAATGCGGTGCAGAGGGGTTCCATTGCCACATGCAAGCGCCTGCAGCAGGGTAATAGAACGGGGTTGGATGCGGTGAAGAAGGATTGAAATGGCCCGTGCAAGCGCCTGCAGCATATTGTTGTATGCTGCGAGCCAGGTGTGGTCCAAACTGTGAGTGGTGGGGAACTGGGGCGAGGGAAAGGGGTGGAAGAGGTGAATAGAAAGAGATTGAACGGGGTGAAGAGGGGTTAAATTGGGCCAGCCCATGCATGCCATCGTATGCAGCAAGCCATGTGTGGTCCAACCTGCGAGCGGGGGGGAACTGGGGTGAGGGAGACGGCGGGGGGGGTTTAGATGCGGTGAAAATAGCTTTGATATAACTCAAAACCTCTGTTTTGCATCACAATTACCAGCGTTATAAGACGTTTCTCATTTGCAGTCACCTGCCTGCTTTCAGTCACCTGCCTGCTTTCAGTCACCTGCCTGCTTTCAGCCACCTGCCTGCTTTCAGTCACCTGCCTGCTTTCAGTCACCTGCCTGCTTTCAGTCACCTGCCTGCTTTCAGTCACCTGCCTGCTTTCAGTCACCTGCCTGCTTTCAGTCACCTGCCTGCTTTCAGTCACCTGCCTGCTTTCAGTCACCTGCCTGCTTTCAGTCACCTGCCTGCTTTCAGTCACCTGCCTGCTTTCAGTCACCTGCCTGCTTTCAGTCACCTGCCTGCTTTCAGTCACCTGCCTGCTTTCAGTCACCTGCCTGCTTGTCCTGCATGGTGTTCCATGGCTTGGTGCTCCCCAAGAAGTGCAGCACCCTCAGCTGCGCCTGCACAAACCGCTCCCACCCCTCCCACCCACACTCCACGTTTTGAGGTGCCTGTATAATTACCTCTTCCACGCACTACAGTCACCTCCTTTATACACATTCCCACTTTAGTCACCTGCCTGCTTGTCCTCCATGGTGTTCCATGGCTTGGTGCTCCCGGAAAAATGCAGCACCCTCAGCTGCGGCTGCACAAACCGCTCCCACCCCTCCCACCCGCTCAGGCGGACCAGCGGGTTGAAGGCATACGGCAGGTGGCGCGAGGGGCCTTGGGAGTACCAGTCAGAAAAGTAGTTGTTTAAAAAGCCCTGATCGCCCACGTTGGGTGACTTGGTGGTTGCTACCTGCATGCAAGGGACGGATGGGGGGGCAATGAGTGAAGTATCGCGGGTTGAAGGCATATGGCAGGTGGTGCGAGCGGCCTTGCGAGTACCAGTCAGAGAAGTAGTTGTTTAAAAAGCCCTGATCGCCCACACTGGGTGACTTGGTGGTTGCTACCTGGTCGGAAGGAAGGGGAGAGAAAGGAGAGGCAAGAAGGAGGCGAATGAGTGCGACTCGATTTGAGGTTGAGGGAGTTGGGCTTGAAGGCGGACCAGCGCCTCCCACCGATACAACCCCTCCCACCCGCTCAGCCGGATCAGCGGGTTGAAGGCATATGGCAGGTGGTGCGAGGGGCCTTGCGAGCACGAGTCAGAAAAGTAGTTGTTCAGAAAGCCCTGATTGCCCACGTTGGACGACTTGGTGGCTGCTACCTGGAAGGGACGACAGGGAGAGTGGGGAGGGAGGAAGGTGGTGAATGAGTGAGACTCGAGAGCTGCTTGCGCGCATTGGGGTTGCAGGCGGAATGGTGTTTGTCGGGGGCAGCAACAAACTCGTTTTTTTAGTCGACTCAAAAATCGACTCATTACACTCGTTACATTAGACTTTCCTATCTCCATGCCTTTGCCTCACCTCACCCACCTCGTTCCCTTCGCACGCACCTCGTTCCCTTCACACGCACCTCGTTCCCTTCGCACGCACCTCGTTCCCTTCGCACGCACCTCGTTCCCTTCGCACCCACCTCGTTCCCTTCGCACGCACCTCATTCCCTTCGCACGCACCTCGTTCCCTTCGCACGCACCTCGTTCCCTTCGCACGCACCTCGTTCCCTTCGCACGCACCTCGTTCCCTTCGCACGCACCTCGTTCCCTTCGCACGCACCTCGTTCCCTTCGCACGCACCTCGTTCCCTTCGCACGCACCTCGTTCCCTTCGCACGCACCTCGTTCCCTTCGCACGCACCTTGCTCAGCATATCCCTGAACGTGTCGTGGCTAGGCGCCACCACCATGAGCCCGCTGTTGAAGCGGTCAGGCGGAATGGTGTCGGGAGCAGCAGAGAGCTCGTCGTGGCAGAAGAGCTCGTCGATGTTGCTTAACACCAGCAGGTCGGCATCCACATAGACCAAGCGATGGTACTCTGTCAACGTCCACATCCAGAGCTTGGAGTACCTGATGATTGGACAGGAAGATGGAATTTGCATTGGAGAATGGTGCCGGGTTAAACGGAGAGCTCGTCTATGCTGCTCAGGAGGACGAGCAGGTGGGCTTCGACATACACCAGGCAGCGGTATTCTATTACTGTCCACATCCAGAGCTTGGAGCTTGGAGCTTGGAGCTTGGAGTACCTGATGGGATGGCATGGCATGGCATGGCATGACATGGCATGGAGCAGAGCGTGGGATGGATGGAGCAGAGTGCGCCATGTTGTTCAGTATCAGCAGGTCGGAGTCGACATAGACTAGACGGGGGTACCGAGAGAGGGTGTCCATATCCAGACCTTGGAGCACCTGATGGATTGGCATATAGGGAATCGGAGGAGAGTAAGGCAAGGGCAGCAACAAAGGGAGAGACAAGACATTGCAATGAAGGATATGCGCTATTCCCTTTGTTGCAATGTCTTACAAACCGCTCAGCTCACACATTCTGAGGCCACACTCACCACTGACACTGCCTGAGGAAGCTTTGCAGAAGTTATGCAAAAAACACCTATGTGCAAACATTGTGTCGTCAAAGGCTTACTATTCCCTGCAGGCTGCAGGGTTTGTTGACGGCGACTCTGTTGGGTATCGCTGGGTAAGAGTACGGAATCGGCTCTTCGATCTGCTGCACTCTCGCCCTCAGCAGCTGGAATTCTCAAACACCAGCCTAGTCGCAGTTGAGGCTTGACTCCCACCTGCACAGTTTGTTGATGGCGACTCTGTTGGGCGCGGCCGGAAAAGGGTACGGGATGGCCTCTTCGATCTGCAGCACTCTTGCTCCCAGCAGCTGCAGCCGCGACGCCGTGCCGCCGTGCCTACACTCACATTCATTGTAAGCACTAGAAAGCCATGCAGCCTCCCACCTGCACGGTTTGTTGATGGCGACTCTGTTGGGCGCGGCCGGAAAAGGGTACGGGATGGCCTCTTTGACTCTTGCTCCCAGCAGCTGCAGCCGCGACGCCGTGCCGCCGTGACTACACTCACATTCATTGTAAGCACTAGAAAGCCATGCAGCCTCCCACCTGCACGGTTTGTTGATGGCGACTCTGTTGGGCGCGGCCGGAAAAGGGTACGGGATGGCCTCTTTGACTCTTGCTCCCAGCAGCTGCAGCCGCGACGCCGTGCCGCCGTGCCTACACTCACATTCATTGTAAGCACTAGAAAGCCATGCAGCCTCCCACCTGCACGGTTTGTTGATGGCGACTCTGTTGGGCGCAGCCGGAAAAGGGTACGGGATGGCCTCTTTGACTCTTGCTCCCAGCAGCTGCAGCCACGACGCCGTGCCGCCGTGACTACACTCACATTCATTGTAAGCACTAGAAAGCCATGCAGCCTCCCACCTGCACGGTTTGTTGATGGCGACTCTGTTGGGCGCGGCCGGAAAAGGGTACGGGATGGCCTCTTTGACTCTTGCTCCCAGCAGCTGCAGCCGCGACGCCGTGCCGCCGTGACTACACTCACATTCATTGTAAGCACTAGAAAGCCATGCAGCCTCCCACCTGCACGGTTTGTTGATGGCGACTCTGTTGGGCGTGGCTGGGAACGGGTACGGAATCGCCTCTTCAATTTGCCGCACTCTCGCTCCCAGCAGCTGCAGCCGCGACGCCGTGCCTACACTCACATTCATTGTAAGCACAACCACGTCATGCGGGGTCCCCGTGCGCTTCAGGGAGTGCACCAGAACCATGGCTCCAGGGGCCATGACGTCATCACATAGTAGCGTGACGTAAGCGTAGCGAATGGAGGAAGGATCGCTGTTAAGGAGTTCCTCTTCCCTTCTCTTATTTATCTCTGTTAGCCTTTCCCTGTCCCTGTCTATGTCTCTGTCTCTGTCTCTCTCCCCCTCCTCCCCCTCCTCTCTTTCCTCCACCTCCGCTTCTCCTTCTTTCTCAGTGTGTATTTCATCCGTCGTTCTGCCGTCACTACCGTCGCTACTGCTGCTGCTGCTGCTGTTGCTGGTGCTTCGGCTCTTTATTCTGTGAATGTGACAATATGGGGCTTGGTTAACAGGCGGAGCTGCTGGCCTGGACACGAAACGCCATAAGGAAATCGCCAGTCGTGTGATTATACCGGGACGAGGTTCTATCTTCTTATGCTGAACCGCCGGTGAGCTGTAACTATTCGTCGATTCCAACTTATCACTGTACTGCTGCAGCTGCTTGTCCTGAAAAGCTTGTCTTGCCCTAGTTCCGTCCGTATAACCTTCCAAACTTTCCGAATACAGCGAATTCTCGTTACTGTATCTCCCGCTTCTGACATTTGAATATGTCTCTGCTGTCCTCTGTCCCCTCCTCTCGTACCCACTATCATACCGTCTCCCATAATGTTCTCGGCCTTGGCCGTCCGATTCTGGAAAAAAATGCGACCTAACGTACGGTCCCGATTCTACGTCTGATCCCCAATGCGGCCCTGCGATACCCTGGAAAAGGAGAATAGCGAAGCAGACTATGGAGAACTTCCAGATGAGCTTTAGATTCCTGACGCGCTTGCTTATCCTGTCAACGGTGATTAAGAGCTTCTTGACTCGGCGCAGCGACTGCTTCTCTATTCTAAGGAGCCATCGCGACATGTCGACCGGCTACTTGCGTCAAGGAGAAGGGAAACCATGTCCTACCATTGTAATGACTAAGCAAACGAATGCTTTCGCATGAACATGTTTTTAATGACGATAATAAAATACATTTATTACAATGGTGTCACATCCGTTGTAGTCTAGTCGGTTAGGATATTCGGCTCTCACCCGAAAGACCCGGGTTCAAGTCCCGGCAACGGAACGTTTTTTGCCTAAGATCAGTATTTGCTGGATGCCACCTGCATTTTCACAGCTAGTGATGGGTTGGTTGGCTCCACTTCCCTTCTGACCAGGCAGCCATATCCTGCACAGAAGGCAGGTTCTAAGATGGATGACATCGGCATTTGTGGAAGGGTGGCATGGCAATGAGCTTCTTATCGTGGTTCTGTAGGGATGACGTGGATGTTGTCGACATCCCGACATCCAAACTTTGAACATGTCAAACATCTGTATTTGTCATGTTTGTATAGACTGTATAGGGTTACCTCTTAGAGGGTACAACACTTAGGTATATTTGTGTGTACTCTCACTTTACCATCAATTACAATTCCAATTTTGATATGGTATCACGCGTAGGTAGGATCCCCCCCACCTACCGCTTCCGCTCATGCCCCCTAGCGCCCCTCCTGGGCCCCGTCGCGCTCCTCCCAGGCCCCGTAGCGCCCTGTCGCGCCACTCCTGGGCCCTGTAACGCTCCTCCCAGGCCCCGTCGCGCCCCTCCCAGGCCCCGTCGCGCTCCTCCCAGGCCCCCTAGCGCCCCTCCTGGGCCTCGTCGCGCTCCTCCCAGGCCTCGTAGCGCCCCGTCGCGCCCCTCCTGGGCCCCGTAGCGCCCCTCCTGGGCCTCGTCGCGCCCCTCCTGGGCTTCGTAGCGCCCCTCCTAGGCCCTGTAACGCCCCTCCCAGGCCCCGTCGCGTCCCTCCCAGGCCCCGTCGCGCTCCTCCCAGGCCCCCTAGCGCCCCTCCTGGGCCCCGTCGCGCTCCTCCCAGGCCCCGTAGCGCCCCGTCGCGCCCCTCCTGGGCCCCGTAGCGCCCCTCCTGGGCCTCGTCGCGCCCCTCCTGGGCTTCATAGCGCCCCTCCTGGGCCCTGTAACGCCCCTCCCAGGCCCCGTCGCGCCCCTCCCAGGCCCCGTCGCGCTCCTCCCAGGCCCCCTAGCGCCCCTCCTGGGCCTCGTCGCACTCCTCCCAGGCCCCGTAGCGCCCCTCCTGGGCTCTGTCGCGCCCCTCCCGGGCCCCGTCGCGCCCCTCCCAGGCCCCGTCGCGCCCCTCCTAGGCTCCGTAGCGCCCCTACTGGGCCCCGTCGCGCCCTCCCTGGGCCCTGTAGCGCCCCTCCTGGGCCCCGTCGCACCCTGCCCGACCCCGTCGCAGCCGCCCGGCCCCGTTGCGCCCGCCCGGCGCCGTCGCAGCCGCCCGGCCCCGTCGCGCCCGCCCGGCGCCGTCGCACCCGCCCGGCCCCGTCGCGCCCGCCCGGCCCCGTCGCAGCCGCCTGGCCCCGTCGCGCCCGCCCGGCCCCGTCGCAGCCGCCTGGCCCCGTCGCCCTTGCCTGGCCCCGTCGCAGCCGTCCGGCCCCGTCGCCCCCGCCCGGCCCCGTCCCACCCTGTCCGGCCCCGTCACAGCCGCCCGGCCCCGTCGCACCCGCCCGGCCACCGTCCCGCTCGCCCGGCCCCGTCGCACCGGCCCGGCCCTGCCGCACTCGCCCGGCCCCGTCGCCCCAGCCCGGCCCCGTCGCGCCCGCTCGGCCCCGTCGCCCCGTCCCGGCCCTGTCGCACCAGCCCGGCCCCGTCGCGGCCGCCCGGCCCCGTCGGGCCAGCCCCGGCCCCGTCCTCCTCACTGGTATGGTTCCCCCCCACCCCGCCCTGCTCCGTGGCGCCCCGCACCACACTGTCCTACCTGGCACCGCACTACACCGCACTACACCGCACTGCACCGCACTGCACCGCACTGTACCGCACTGCATCGCACTGCACCGCACTGCACCGCACTGTACCGCACTGCACCGCACTGCACTGGACTGTTCCTGATGGCGGCGGAGCTTCGCTTCGACGCTGAAGGTCAGCCCCTAGAGTTCGAGGCGAGGCTTGCCGACCTCCGCCGTCAACTCACTGGCCAGCGGCAGGATGGTGAACCGCTTTCCGCACACCTTGACGGTACGCTCCCCTGCCCAGACCCCCCTGCTATTCTGCCCGCTGACCCCACACCCACTGAGCGTGAGGCTACTGCTGCCACTGCCCGTGCGCGCTCTGTCTGGCTTTCTCGCGATGCTGTTGCCCAGCTTGCCATTAGCAACGCCCTTCCCCCATCCGAGCGTCCTCGCTTTAGGTCCCTCACTACTGCTCAGGCATACTTAGATGCTGTGATCAAGCGCTATTCCACCCCTCCGGCTGCCTCGGTGGGTCGCCTGATCCTTCCGATGCTCTTTCCTGACCTTGCATCTTTCCCCACTGTCTCTGACCTCGCTGCCCACCTGCGCTCGATAGATGAGACCTGGCGCGCTGCCTGCACTGACGCCCAGCTTAGAGCCCACCAGCCGCCCATTACCTCTACCCTCTATCTGCTTGCCACCCGCCTCCCTGACCGCCTTGCTGTCGCCCGCGACCGCTTTCTTAGCGTTCACCCCGCAGACCTCACCCTCACTGACTTTGTAGACACCCTGACTGTGATAGAGACCCGTCACCGCTCCATCGCCCAGGCGAGCGGTGTCGTGCCGGTCCCTATCTTTCAGGGTTGTGCCCCCGCTCAGTGCACCTTCTCCGACGGCTCTGCCGCAGTGGCTGAGACTGCTGCTGCAGCGCAGGTCCGTTCGGGGAAGGGCCGCCGCCCCAAGGCTGGGCGCGGCGGAGGAGGCGGCGGGGGTGCGGGCGGGGGTGGTGGTGGGGTCGGGTCGCCTGGTACTGGAGTGGACGAGGGGACCCTGCCCAGTTCAGCTGAGTCGCCGCCCCTGCAGGTGCAGCAGCCGCCGCAGTCGCAGCCTTCGCAGCAGCCGCAGCAGCCGCCGCAGACGCGGCAGCCGAGTGTCCTTCCGCCAGGGTGGCCCGGCGCTGGCGGTGGCCGGGCGCGTGGTGGTGTGCCGCGTGGTGGCTCTGGCGGCGGGCGTTGTCAGTACCAGATCCAGACCGGTCCTCGCCGCGGCTTCGTTTGCGGTAAGATCGGTCACTCCACTCCCCGCTGTTTTCGTCGCCTGGACGACCTCTTTCGTCAGCGCTTCGGCCCGTCGCCAGACCTCCCGGACTGGCACAGTTTGCTTAGTCGTCAGATTCAGATTTTTGATATGGACATGGATGCCATTGTTTCCGCTCTGCATGTGATGTATGCTGATGACTCTAGTGTGCTTCCCGCTTATTACTCACTGTTGCCTAGTGTAGGTGTGCCTAGCTTAGCCTCCCCTGCTGCGTCAGGCGTAGGCTCCCCTGCTTTGTGTAGTCTTGGTGCTTCCGCCGTCGTTCCGTCGCCAGACCCCTCGGCTTCGCTGTCCTTCACCCTGGACTCTGGCGCCTCTCGGTGTTTCTTCCGCGACTCCACCACCCTGACGCCGCTTCCTGTTCCTGCTGCCGTTTCTCTTGCTGACCCCTCCGGCGGTCCGGTAGTCGCCCGCAGTTCCACCACCCTTCCCTGTCCGGCGGTTCCTTTGGGTTCTCTTACAGGTCTGCATATCCCCTCGTTCTCCAGGAACCTAGTTGGTGTCGGCTGCCTCCAGGACCTTGGCGTCACCACTACGTTCCCTGGCCACGAGCGGTATGCTGTCTGTACCGAGGCCGCCACTGGTGCCCCCCTGTGCACGTTCCCCCGGGACCCGGTGTCCGGCCTGTTCACTCTGGACACCGCGACCCCCCCGGCTAGAGCGCCCCCTCAGGTGGCTGCATCTACCCAGGTTGCTGCTGCCTGCTCCTGTCGCTCCCTCACTCACCCGACCCTCCTGTGGCACCACCGCCTAGGTCACCCTGCGCTCCCGCGTCTGCGTCACATGTCCCAGCACGGTCTCGTCCTTGGTCTCCCAGGTTCGCTCCCCGCGTTTCCCTCCTCTCCAGCCCCACCTTGCACGCCTTGTGTCGAGGGTCGGCTTCGCCGTGCCCCTCACTCCTCCTCGTTTCCCCCTACCGCCGCGCCACTGCAGACCCTGCACCTGGACGTCTGGGGCCCCGCCCCCGTCCCTGGGCCACGTCGAGAGCGCTACTTCCTTGTGCTTGTCGACGACTTCACTCGTAACACCACAGTCTTTCCACTGGAGCGCAAGGCCGACATGCCTGGCGCCCTCATCCCCTGGCTTGTCTCTGCGCGTGTCCACCGCGGTCTCCCTGTCTTGCGTCTTCACTCAGACCGTGGTGGCGAGTTTGCCTCAGGCTGCCTCGGTGGGTCGCCTGATCCTTCCGATGCTCTTTCCTGACCTTGCATCTTTCCCCACTGTCTCTGACCTCGCTGCCCACCTGCGCTCGATAGATGAGACCTGGCGCGCTGCCTGCACTGACGCCCAGCTTAGAGCCCACCAGCCGCCCATTACCTCTACCCTCTACCTGCTTGCCACCCGCCTCCCTGACCGCCTTGCTGTCGCCCGCGACCGCTTTCTTAGCGTTCACCCCGCAGACCTCACCCTCACTGACTTTGTAGACACCCTGACTGTGATAGAGACCCGTCACCGCTCCATTGCCCAGGCGAGCGGTGTCGTGCCGGTCCCTATCTTTCAGGGTTGTGCCCCCGCTCAGTGCACCTTCTCCGACGGCTCTGCCGCAGTGGCTGAGACTGCTGCTGCAGCGCAGGTCCGTTTGGGGAAGGGTCGCCGCCCCAAGGCTGGGCGCGGCGGAGGAGGCGGCGGGGGTGCGGGCGGGGGTAGTGGTAGGGTCGGGTCGCCTGGTGCCGGACTGGACGAGGGGACCCTGCCCAGTTCAGCTGAGTCGCCGCCCCTGCAGGTGCAGCAGCCGCAGCAGCCGCCGCAGTCGCAGCCTTCGTAGCAGCCGTCGCAAACGCGGCGACGAGTGTCCTCCCGCCGGGGTGGCCCGGCGCTGGCGGTGGCCGGGCGCGTGGTGGTGTGCCGCGTGGTGGCTCTGGCGGCGGGCGTTGTCAGTACTAGATCCAGACCGGTCCTCGCCGCGGCGTCGTTTGCGGTAAGCTCGGTCACTCCACTCCCCGCTGTTTTCGTCGCCTGGACGACCTCTTTCGTTAGCGCTTCGGCCCGTCGCCAGACCTCCCGGACTGGCACAGTTTGCTTAGTCGTCAGATTCAGATTTTTTATATGGACATGGATGCCATTGTTTCTGCTCTGCATGTGATGTATGCTGATGACTCTAGTGTGCTTCCCGCTTATTACTCACTGTTGCCTAGTGTAGGAGTGCCTAGCTTAGCCTCCCCTGCTGCGTCAGGCATAGGATCCCCTGCTTTGTGTAGTCTTGGTGCTTCCGCCGTCGTTCCGTCGCCAGACCCCTCGGCTTCGCTTTCCTTCACCTTGGACTCTGGCGCCTCTCGGTGTTTCTTCCGCGACTCCACCACCCTGACGCCGCTTCCTGTTCTTGCTGTCGTTTCTCTTGCTGACCCCTCCGGCGGTCCGGTAGTCGCCCGCAGTTCCACCACCCTTCCCTGTCCGGCGGTTCCTTCGGGTTCCCTTACAGGTCTGCATATCCCCTCGTTCTCTAGGAACCTAGTTGGTGTCGGCTGCCTCCAGGACCTTGGCGTCACCACTACGTTCCCTGGTCACGAGCGGTAAGCTGTCTGTACCAAGGCCGCCACTGGTGCCCCCCTGTGCACGTTCCTCCGGGACCCGGTGTCCGGCCTGTTCACTCTGGACACCGTGACTCCTCCGGCTGGAGCGCCCCCTCAGGTGGCTGCGTCTACCCAGGTTGCTGCTGCCTGCTCCTGTCGCTCCCTCACTCACCCGACCCTCCTGTGGCACCACCGCCTAGGTCACCCTGCGCTCCCGCGTCTGCGTCACATGTCTCAGCACGGTCTCGTCCTTGGTCTCCCAGGTTCGCTCCCCGCGTTTCCCTCCTCTCCAACCCCACCTTGCACGCCTTGTGTCGAGGGTCGGCTTCGCCGTGCCCCTCACTCCTCCTCGTTTCCCCCTACCGCCGCGCCGCTGCAGACCCTGCACCTGGACGTCTGGGGCCCCGCCCCCGTCCCTGGGCCGCGTCGAGAGCGCTACTTCCTTGTGCTTGTCGACGACTTCACTCGTTACACCACAGTCTTTCCCCTGGAGCGCAAGGCCGATGTGCCTGGCGCTCTCATCCCCTGGCTTGTCTCTGCGCGTGTCCACCGCGGTCTCCCTGTCTTGCGTCTTCACTCAGACCGTGGTGGCGAGTTTGCCTCCGGTGTCCTTTGTCGCTTTTGTCGTGCGGAGGGCATCACCCAGACGTTCACCCTACCGGACTCCCCACAGCAGAATGGGGTCGCTGAGCGACGCATCGGTTTGATCATGGAGGTCGCTCGCACCTCCATGATCCATGCCGGTGCACCCCATTTTCTGTGGCCGTTCGCTGTGCGCTACGCTTCTCACCAGCTTAACCTGTGGCCGCACCCTCAGCAGCCGCAGGTTTCGCCGACCCGTCTTTGGACTGGGTCCCCTGGTGACGCGTCTGCGTTCCACGTCTGGGGCTGCCTTGCTCACGTCCGTGCCTCCGGCACGGACAAGCTCACTGCCCGCACCCTTCCCTGCGTCTTCCTTGGTTTTCCCCTTGACGCGTCCGACTGGCACTTTTACCACCCGCCGTCTCACCACTTCTTTCACTCTCGTGACGTCACCTTTGACGAGTCTGTCTCCTACTACCGCCGCTTTCCCCACCGTGGTCCCCGGTTACCCCCCCCCTGTTCTTGGTCACCCCTTCCCCGGTAGTCCCTGCCCCTCCTCCTCCTCCTCCCCGTCCCGCCCCCTCTGGTGTGTCCCACGTCACCCCCCTTCCGTCCGTGGACCCGGTTGAGGAGTCGTCTGACTCTGGTGGCCCTCCTGTTCAGTCCTCGCTGGCCGCCCCTCCCCAGGTGTCCCCTCCCCAGTCCCCTCCTCCACCGCCACTACCGCTGCTGCAGCCGTCGTCGTCGTCGTCGCCGCCGCCGCCGCCGTCGCAGCCCCCGTTCGCTGACTCTGGGGGTGCTCGTCCCGGTCGCCCTGGGGGTGGTCCCTCTAGGGGTGCTGGTGTGGAGAGTGCCGGTGGTCGCCGAGGAGCAGCTTGCGGTCCAGGTGTCGCCGTTGTGCCGCCGCAGCAGCGGTCCCCGCCGGTGTCCGCCCTTCGCCTTCTCGGCCTTCCGTCCCCCGACCCTGCGTCGGTTCCTCCCCGACCGTCTCCTCCTCTTCCTGTTTACGGCCCTATTTTCCCTCCGCCGGACTCGTCCCCGGCTCGTCTCCCCCCTCGTTCCCCTCCTGTGTCCTCTCCCCTGTCTCCTGACCCGACTCCTCCGTCGCACGTCTGGTCTCACCGCCCCTCCCGTGCTCGTCCTGCCTCGCCTGTCTTGCGCTCCCACCCTATGTTGCTTCGTTCCCTCGCGTCTCGTCCTCCCCTTCTCCCGTCGCCTCCTCCGTCCTCCCTTGTTGTTGCGCCCCCCCCGCTGTCCGACTACCTTCGTGCCGCTCGTCCTCTCGTTCCTCGGGTCCTTGCCTCTCTCGTTACCGACCCGTCTGTTCCGACCTCGTGCCTTGACGCTCTTGTCGCTGCTGTCGCTGACTTCGCCTCTACCCGTCGCCTTGACTACGCCTCCGCTCTGGTCTCTGACCCTGCCTGTCCTCCGTCTGTCGGGGGTGCTCCTGCCCTTGGAAGTGACGTCCTGGAGGACCGCCAGTTCGAGCTTGCTTTCCTCTCCGAGGCTGCTCCCCATCTCTGTTCCATGCTGCTAGTCCCTGAGGGTGACCCAGACGCTTTCGACATCCCGACCCCTCGCACTTACGCTGAGGCGACTTCGGGACCCTGGGCCTCGCAGTGGATAGCTGCCATGGAGCAGGAGATGGCATCTTGGAGATCCACCGGCACCTTCGTCGACGCAGTTCCCCCACCTGGGGTGAACGTAGTCGATGGCCGCTGGCTTTTCAAGGTGAAGCGCCCTCCTAGAGAGCCGCCTGTCTTCAAGGCGCGCTATGTGGCTATAGGCTTCAGTCAGCGCGAGGGGGTGGACTTCTTCCAGACTTTCGCTCCGACCCCGAAGATGACTACTCTTCGGGTTCTGTTACACCTAGCTGCTCAGCGTGACTACGAGCTTCACTCCCTCGACTTCTCCACTGCCTTCCTTCAGGGCAGTCTACACGAGCAGGTCTACCTGCGTCGCCCTCCGGGCTTTACTGGCACCTTCCCTCCTGGGACCCAGTGGCTTCTACGGCGCCCCGTCTACGGCCTGCGCCAGGCTCCCCGTGAGTGGCACGACACTCTCCGTGCTACCCTTGCTGACCTGCATTTCTTTCCGTCTTCCGCAGACCCTTCACTCTTCGTTCGTGCTGGCCAGACTCCGTTCTACATCCTTGTTTACGTCGACGACCTGGTCTTTGCCACGGCAGACAGGGATGCACTGGCCTCCGTGAAGGCAGAGCTGCTGAAGAGACACACCTGCACTGACCTTGGAGAACTGCGCCGTTACCTTGGCTTGCAGATCTCCAGGGACAGAGCTGCGCGCACCATCACCCTGACTCAGTCACACTTGGTGCGCCAGGTCCTTCAGAGGTTCAGCCTTCAGTTCTCCTCTGCACAGCCCACCCCTCTGCCTGTAGACCACAGACTCTCCGCTCCAGTGTCTGAGGAGTTGGTAGAGCCCAGCGGCCCCTACGCAGAGCTGGTGGGTTGCCTCATGTACCTGATGACTTGCACTCGCCCAGATCTCGCATACCCTCTCAGCATCCTGGCGCGCTTTGTGGCCACAGGCAGACACCGACCGCAGCACTGGTTTGCCGCTAAGAGGGTTCTGCGTTATCTTGCTAGTACATCGGGCATGGGGTTAGTGCTAGGAGGACGCAGGCCAGTGGTCCTTACTGGACACACAGACGCTTCGTGGGCAGACGACGCTGAGACACTCAGGTCTACCCAGGGCTACTGCTTCAGCCTTGGCTCAGGTGCCGTCTCGTGGAGAGCTACTTGCTCCTCGTCTGTTGCGCAGTCCAGCTGTGAGGCTGAGATTTACGCTGGTGCCATGGCGGCACAGGAGCTCCGCTGGCTGACCTTCTTGCTCACTGACTTAGGTGAGCGGCCTAGCTCTGCCGTTGGCTGACAACAGGGCCATGATCCTCCTGTGTTAGGAGCCTCGACTCGAGGGCACAGCAAAGCACATCCAGCTGCGGTACTTCCTCCTGCGTGAGCTACAGCAGTGACGTCAGTCTCGCGTAGTACACTTGGCCTCAGGTGCCAACACGGCTGATATCTTTACGAAGGCGCTTGCGCCTAAAGATCATCAGCGGCACTGTGTACAGCTTGGTCTAGTTCCTGTAGCCTCTCACTTGCTAGGACCTTGACTTTGTACTGTCCTTTATACGTATACTCAGACTGGACTTGTGTCCTCTTCCAGTGGCTGGACTAGTAGTGCCGCCCTGGTCTTGTTCTTGCCTTGTCTGTACTCCTTCTGACTGGTCTCTCAGACCCTTGTCTCAGAGGTTGGACTAGTAGTGCCGCCCTGAGCTGCTTGTTTAGGGTATTCCCCTATGCAGTCTAGGGGGTGTGTGAAACATCTGTATTTGTCATGTTTGTATAGACTGTATAGGGTTACCTCTTAGAGGGTACAACACTTAGGTATATTTGTGTGTACTCTCACTTTACCATCAATTACAATTCCAATTTTGATAGAACAAGCCCTAACCACGCGGCAAGAATGCACAGATGGCCAAACCTGACGCGAGAGACAAGCAGTAGGGTTTCCTTTCCTGGTAGTCGTAAATGCTGCGATTTGTAGTGATGCATCTCGCGCTCCTGTCTTCCCAAAGATGTAGGTACCATACTACCGTATGCCAAGAGCGAAGAGCGCACCAAGAAATGACACGGTTGGGAAGGTCTATCAACCGTAAATCAGTTGTGGCTGCCTTTATATTGACTGACGTGGTCGACACACGGAGAACAAACATGAGGCCGGACTGGTTCACAACAGCAAGCCACACTGTATTGGGGGGAGGGGGGGAAGTGTTGTTGACCGTTGGATTGGATGGTACATGCAGCATGGAATGAAACAAGCATCCTTCATGAGCTGATATTGACATGGTCGAACATACGGAGAATTACCATAAGCCCGAACTGGTCCACAACAGCAAGCCTCACAGACCGGCGCAGAAACTCTTGACTGCTGGATGGTGGGAGCGCTAGTGCCACAGCATCACTGCAACCACTAAAACCAGGACGCGACACCTGCACTGACTTTTGAGGCGCCTCATGCCTTGGCTGATCCACAGGGCAATCTGTGCGGTTTGCCGTGGTTGAACAGTTTTCCTGGTATGGGCCACCTGGACTTGAGCATACAGGAGACCCTTGTAGTGCCCCAGCAGGTGTAGCAGCCGGTTTGTGAGGCGCCTCAGCACACGGAGCAGGCTCTGCACACCCATGTGCATTGGTGATGCTGCTGCCTGTGTCCCCTGGCCTCCCACCGAGCTGAACAGCAGCGTTTTGAGGTGCGTCGGCGCATGAAGCGAACCCTGGGAAGCCACATGTGCTGCGGCTCTCCTTGTCAACCGGTGTTCCTGCAAGCTTGGCAACACGGGAAAGCCTGGAGGCATAGCAGAACCAGGGGGAGTAGGAAAGGATGACATCGCTGATTTTGCTTGCTCTGTGAGGCGAGGGAAGTATGAAGCACCACAAGGCAGGAAGAACATGGCACTAGAGGCGAGAGGGAACAGAGACAGTGCAAGAAGAGGGAGGAAGGATGGGTTTAAGTGAGAAGAAGACGTCCCTCGACGAATCGAACTGATTCAACGACTTTGGCGAAAGCCCACGCTCTCGAGTAAGGTGACGAACCAGGCCAGCATTGCTAAGAAGGAAGATGCAGCAATGCCGAAATATGAAACAGTTCATGTTGCGGATGCATTGCTCTGAGCTGAATTGCCGTTCCTAGCAATGCCAAAGCACTTGAGACCGTAGGCTTCCGCGAAGTTGTTCAGTTTTGGTCGTGTATAAAATGTTGCTGCTAGCTGCATCATCATTTTTAGCATCGCCGAATCAACCTGTCATCTCACTTGAGACCGCTGTCTTTCTTGAGTTCCGCTGTTCACATGTGTGGATCAACACTCAGATTATCACTGACGTACCAGGCGGGTGTGAGGGCTCTAGATGCGCTCAGTGGGACGACCACATCAACCTGCTTGCAGCAAGGGATGAGGGAGGGAGGGAGTCAGATGCAGGGGAGTGATAGCTGCTGTGTGTGAATCAATGGCCTTTCACACACCATGCGGGTGTGCGGGCTCCTGATGCGCTCAGTGGGACGACCACATCAACCTGCTTGCAGCAAGGGACGGGGGAGGGAGGTAGGTGCAGGGGCAGGGAGCGATAGCTGCTGTGAATCGACGGCCTTTCACACACCATGCGGGTGTGAGGGCTCTAGATGCGCTCAGTGGGACGACCACTTCCACCTGCTTACAGCAAGGGATGAGGGAGGGAGGCAGGTGCAGGGGCAGGGAGTAAGAGCTGCTGTGAAACAATGGCCTTTCACACCCCATGCGGGTGTGAGGGCTGTGCTCAGTGGGACGACCACTTCTACCTGCTTACAGCAAGGGATGGGGGAGGTAGGTAGGTGCGGGAGAAGGGAGCCATATCTGCTGTGAATCAACAGCCTTTCACACACCATGCGCTCTATGCGCTCACTAGAACGACCTGGGTAGAGAGCAAGTAGAGCAAATAATAGACGGAAGGGAGGTAAGTGAGGCAGGGAAGGTCAAAACATCAGCAGACACAGACACGAAGAAAGTAGTATAGTTTTGAGGCGCCTCAAAACTAGACACAGACACCAAGATTGGAAGGTTTGGAACTGCCGTGACGTGACAACACGAAAATGAGCATGGGTCACATACGACGTAGCTTACCCATAACTCACCTTATCTGGTTCCTCCCCTCGTTTGTAGCACATGATGGCAAGCAGGCTTAGAGGCGGCCGCTGCTGCTGCTGCTGCTGCTGCTGCTGATTATGAGCCGCCCCTCTCTCACACCCTTCCCGCTCCTCCTCCTTCCCTACTTGATTTATTCTTTCTAGACTTTCCTCTCTACACCTAGCACCTCCCCTCCCCCTCTCCCTCTCCCTCTCCCTCTCCCTCTCCCCCTCCCTTCCCCTCTCCTCTCCCCCACGTTCCGTCATCAAAACGACCTCCACTCGTTTCCACCAATCAGCGGCTGCCAGCTTGGACAGCGCCACGTACGCTTCCAGAGGCGAGGCGGGCCAATCACAGGCCTTGGTGGAAGGCAGAGAGGAGTGGGGAAGGAATAAGGGGAAGGAGGAGGAAGGGGAGAGGGAGGAGGGAACAGGCGAACGGGAGTACGGAGAATAGGAGGAGGAAATCGAAGAGCAGAGGGAGATAAACTGGTGCCATGGGGGGAGAGAATCCACGTGCAAGGGTGGCGTGGGGCTCATGCTGCTGCTGTTGCTGCTGCTGCTGCTGCTGCTGCTGTTGTTGTTCCGAGCGTTACCAACTTCGCTCCTAGCGGTTCCCATTGCGCTACTACGAATGGCAGTGGCCGTGCTAGTGGATGCCGCTGCTTCGCCGCTTCTCAATCGGCCTTCCTGGTCCCTCTCCTTGTCCCTCTCCCCCTCCTCCCTCTCCCCGTCGCCCCTCTCCCTATCGATGATCAGCAACGTTCTACTCGACGATCGGCGCCCGCGCTCTCTAACCCCGCCATGCATCTTCGCTGATCGTGACGTCACTCTCTGTTCACTCGCAGCTCGTGACGTCACTCTCTGCTCGTGACGTCAGTCCCTCAGCGATCCAGCACGAGAAGAATGCCGCTGCGATCTCAACGATTCGTGTCGCCCGTCCCCGCGCAATTTCGTTCGCCTCTCACTACCTATTCCAATGGATGACGCTCGGGGTAACAGATCGCAAGGCCGTCCTCAAATTAGGACGCAAGTGCACAAAGTTAGCGCTATGAAATGTGCTACTACTGCTTGTGTGAACCACAATAGGGTTACGCCATTCGGCTTTCTGCTTTTTGTTTTCGCCATTCCGCTCGCTTTCCCCCTGGTCCCACAGAACGTACCAAACGAAGAACCTTAGGGTTGTCGTTTCAGTTCTGGTTCATTAGGGCACCAGTTACGTTTCCCTCGGACGAACCCGTCCGCGTAACGAGTTCGTTTGGAGTACAATTTCAGTCAGCATCCACTACCATTTCAGGGTTCGGAGAACATTTCAGACCTAAAACTCAGGCTTCAGCGACTGACTTTCATCCATTGCTATGCCGTAGCGCGGCGCAGGTGCTTTGCTGAACGTCTCGTGCTGACTTCACTCTAGCGATTTCCCAAAATGAACTTATCGTTTTTCTGTGAATCTTGCAATCGAACGACCTTATAACGCGTCCGAATCTCCCTTTCCAGCCTCAATAAGCACGGAAGACACGACGCTAGCGGCACCAGAGCTTCATTCTCCGCAATCTCCGAAATCGAGTTGCGACAGCCTCCCCATGATTGCGTCACTCGCTTCAGAATCGCGTTAGTACTACCAGCTGGTAGTCCCCGCCTTTTGTGGTAACCAGCAGTTGAGGAAAACACACGGTAATGGCAGGGAAGGAGAGGGAGAAGGAAAAGGGGAGGGAGAAGGGGGGAGAGAGAGGGCGAGAGAGAAAAAGGGAGGAGAAAGAGAAGGGAAGCGGAAAAGAGAAGGAGAGGAGCAAGGGGAAGCACAGGAGGAATGAGAGCGGAGGGAGTAGCAGGAGCGGGAGAGCAGCGTCACCGTCAGCGTGTGAGGGGGAGGTACCACGGTCCAGACATCACCACCATAGCCATCACGGGCATCAGCATAAGGAGCATCACCATACAGACCATCAGCGTAATGACCATCAGCAGCATAATGACTATCAGCAGCATACGGACCATCAACTCTTAGACGATCACCACCAATGGCAGCACCATGATCAGCAGCAGCAGCAGCCGTTTCTTCAGCAGCAGTATCAGCAACACCATCAGCAGCAGCAGCATCAGCAGCAGCTTCCAGTGACGTCATCATTCGCATCATCACCCAGAATGACGTCAGCATCGCCATCAGGAACCGATGGTTGGCGTGGGATGCTGACGTCAGCTGCATCAGCACCCATCATCAAGAGATGCCATTCAATGATTCAACGCCGGGAGGTGCAGTCTCCCTCTGTTTCTTGCCATTTATCAGGCACTAACTGACGGAACAGGCCCCCAGGCGCACCCCTCGAGTCATGCATCCATCCATCCTACATTTCGCCTTCTTACCCTGTCCTTTCCTGTCCTCGTCAGCCAGCCGGTCTAAGGCCAAACCACCAGCATGCATGATGAATGGATCATGGACCCCTCCGTTTCTGTGCTCCATTTCTCAGTACACTTTCTCTTTCTCAGTACGCTTTCTCCCTGCACCTTCCTTAGGGCTCAACTCAATGCCATCCATTATTCTGAACGCTTGCCTCTTGCTGGCATGCCTGCCAGCTTATGTCTCAACTTTGCGCCCTACTTCTTGCACATTCCCCTTCACTCCTCAAACCCTCCCGCCAGCTGCCCAAGGGCTCGACTCCATACATTATCTCTGGCGTTTTCCTCTTGCTGGTACGCGTGCGTAGGTGCTTCAAATCTGGGCTTTCGAGTTTTTACTGGTATCAGGTCGCACTTGCATGAAAGTGCGATCCACGCAAGTGGCGAGCTTTGGGAAGGTTTGGCAAGGAAGGAATAGACAGGCATCGGGCGAAATCGATGGTTCGTGTTGTCAGGTCTGCATGAGAATTGTTGACACGAGGTGCCTGCCTGCCGACAGGAAGTTTGACACGCGTGCGGAGCGTACGTACGAACCCCGGCATTCTTGGCATGTTGTGTTGTAGTTGCTGCTATGCTGTTGTCTCGTGAGGTGTTTATTTTCCGGTTCATTGAGTGAGCTTGTCAGCAGAGTCAACGGTGCAGCCAGTTGAAGAACCAGAGAACTTCGACCTGATGGCTCCATGATCCATCCTCCCCTATGAACCAGAGAATGGGGCCAACGGGGCCAATGGGGCCAATGGGGCCAAGAAGCACCTGGGGGGGGGGGTCGGGGGGTGTTTTTGAGAATTCTCAAAAACACCCAGCTGATGCCCACATCTTCCTCCATGATCAAGAAAATGGGCCAAGAAGCACCTGCCTGGGGGGGGGGGAAGGGGGAGTGGGGCCGTGGGGGTAAGATGGACTTCTTGAGCCAGCTGATGGCTCCACCTTATCCTCCCCCCCCCCAGTTGCGACTTGTCCCCATTCTCCGATTCGCCATCTTCTTTATCTTTCAGACTGACGAAGTGTAATCGCCTGATCGCCGTCAGGTCAGGTCAGGTCAGGTCAGGTCAGGTCAGGTCAGGTCAGGTCAGGTCAGGTCAGGTCAGGTCAGGTCAGGTCAGGTCAGGTCAGGTCGTCCTACCTATCCCTCCTATCGCATCCCCCCCCCAGGTGCTCACTCTCTGATTCGCCATCTTCTCGATCTTTCAAGCAGCTGAAGAGAAACAGCCAGATTGCCTTCGGATCACCTCAACACTCTCTTCCCTGTCCTCTCCTCCCTGTCCCCTCCCCCCCACCCCCCCAGGTGCTCACTCTCTGGTTCGACGTATTCTCAATCTTCCAAGCAGACGACGAACAGGCGCTTATTCGTGCCTCTGCCTCTTCCATTCCTCCCCAGTTCTCCCAATCAGTAAGCACATTCTCGTTCGTTAGATAAGGGTAATGCTTAGCGAAGCATGGTGTTCTACAGCAGCTAGACCCTCCTAAACCCCCCATCCTGCTGCTTCAATTCCTTGCTCGTACTGCAATGCAATCTACTCACACAATTTCGCTCCTCCTGTCTCCCTGTACACCCCCCCCCCATCACCATCTTCCCCATCACCATCTTCCCCATCACCATCTCCCCCCATCACCATCTCCCCCCATCACCATCTCCCCCCATCACCATCTCCCCCATCACCATCTCCCCCCATCACCATCTCCCCCCATCACCATCTCCCCCCATCACCATCTCCCCCCATCACCATCTCCCCCCATCACCATCTCCCCCCATCACCATCTCCCCTACCACCTTCTGTCCCACCTATTGCCTGCCGACCTCTTCAGTCCACAGCTTTCTCTGAATCACCACCCTCATCACCAGCAGCAGAAGAGCCGTCAGCACAGCACACCGATACTGGCGCCTCTCTCTCGTCTCCTGCCAACACTGCTTCGGAAGGTTTCGAACCAACCGACAGCTCCGGTGCCGAAGCTGCAGCTGCTAGCAGCAGCAGTGGCAGCGGTGACAGCAGCAGCAGCAGCATAAGCAGCAGCAGCCCAGGCAGTGGTCTATCCTCGGAGCCTGACGGAGGAGACGTCACTGATCTCTCCCACCCATCCAGGTGGCAGCAGCATGCGTTCAGGCGCGTGGGGCTCGTGTCGTTCGCCCAGTTCTCCGCCTACAGAATCTCAGGCAACCAGTTTGCTGCTGTGGGGCTGGCTGCTCGCGCCTTGGATGACACGAGAAAGGTGAGGCAGGAGGGGAGAGATGGAAAGAAAAGGGAGCACGGGGGTGAGGGATGATGCGTCTAAAGGGGTGTGAAATGGCTTGTTGAGCTGTTTAAACAGGGTGTTAGCCATGTGAGCTCGCCCGGGTGTGTTTTTTACATGGCTGAAGGCTTGTTGAGCTGTTTTTTGCAGGGTGCTTTTGAGCATTACAAAGAAGCAAGCTGTTTTTTAAAGAAGAGACGAGAGGAGGGAAAGAAGTTTGCAAAGTATTGATTGTGGAATGAATGATAAATCGGTTCTTTTTGTTTTGTGATGTCTGGTCTGTTGCATTGCAAAATCTGATGCACATTGTAACATGCGATGCGCATTGCAACGCATGGCTTGATGTGACATGCGGAAGGTGGGCACATGCGTGTGGGAGCCTGCGAAATCTGCAGCAGGGCAAGCGCAAGGCGAGGAGACAAGCGGTGCCACGTCCGAGAGTGGGACGAGGAGGAGGAGGAGGAGGAGGCTGATGGCGCAGGAGATTGGGAGAGGAGGAAAGGAGGAGAGACACTGGGGAGGAGCGAGGAGGAAGCATGAGAGACAAAGTGGAGGAGGGGCGACGCATGAGAGGAGCGCAGTGCTTTTTGAGGCGCCTCAAAAATCGAAGCATGAGAGGAGCGCAGTGCCGAAGAGAGAGAGTGTAGAATCCTCCCTGAAGAGAAAAGGTGAGGGCGAGGTGGTGGCCAAGGAAGAGAGTGGGAGGATGCTTGGAGCGCCTGAAATCCTGCTGAGCGGTCTTTCCCTGAAGAGAAGGCAGCTAGAGGATAGTTCACCTGATGATTCACATGAGAGTTCATCTGATAAATCACCTGACAGTTCACGTGAGAAGTCACCTGAGAGTGTGTCTTCTGTGAATGGGGAGAAGCCAGCAGGAGAGGGAAGGGAACGGGAAGAGGAGAGGAAGGAGGAAGGGAGGAAGGAGGAGGAGAGGAAGGAGGAGGAGGAGCGGAAAGAGGAAGGGAGGAAGGAGGAAGAGGCAAAGGATGCGCGAGGGTGGATACGTGGAGAGGTGGAGATGCTACACGTGGGAGAGCACCATTGGTGGAAATATGCTGGGCTCATTCTCCTCTGCACCCTAAAGAGGTGAGTTGAGTGAGACGAGCTTTGTGCTAGGTTGGTTGATGACGTTTTGTTTGATGCCAAGGCTAATGGTCAGAGGTCAGAAGCTGCTGAGAGGGTCAAATGTGACTTGTGAGTCGACTCAAAAGTTGCCTTGTTAGTGGTCAGAGGTCAGACAGAAGCTGCTGACAGGCTAGCTGACGGCTTCAGAGGTATGGTGCTCTGCTTTTGAGTCGACTCATAGAAAGAGGTATGGTGGTGATGTCATTGCTGTGACCCGTGCCATGCCCCGTGCTTGTTGTCTATTTTTTAGGCGCCTCAAAATAGACCCGTGGGCCGTGGCCTTTGCCCCATGGGCCATGGGCCATGCATGCCCCATGCATGCCCCATGCTTGAT